TCGATCAAGGATTACACAACATCAGCGCCCTTCAGTCATGCATAAGGGCCGAATTCATGCAGACCGCTCTTCAAGCCGTAGACTTACCTTGCCGTGTCACGTCACAAATCTGCTACACGCACCTCCGCCACCACCTTAAAGGGATTGAACCTTTCAGCCGACTTGGCCGTGACCTCCCATGGACGGGTCGTAAATTCTCGCCGCTGTTTCAGGGAGTTCGCCAACACCTGAACAAGATGAACATGTCCCTCAGAGTTTTGTTTGATACTCGCGCCGATATGAGCAGCCGCAAGATCAGGCACACGCTCGCTCCGATTGCACACGAACATCAGATGCTTCTTCTAGTATGTAAGGGTCTCTCAGAAACCCACACTACCAGACTGCTACAAAACCTCTCCCGCGCCGGCATAACCGACCTAGAGGATCTCTCACCGCTGTTTGAAACCACAATAGCAGAACTGGCAAACAGCGGAACCGATATAAGTCCCAGAGAACGGTGGGAAAGTCACAAAGGGCGCCCCACAAGAACTGCCCAAGAACTCATACAAGACAGGTCAACAAAAACTCCCAACTTTATACTACATCCAGATCTACGGATCCCTGGAGCAAGTGCAATGCAACTCAAACTCCTACGACTACTTATCCGCATCTATATCGAACAACTTTTGGAACCTTTTGCACGCAGCAATTCCCAACCCAGCAAAGAGACGCAAACCAACTGGGGACTGCACAAGAAACACTCACTCGATGTTACCAAAGCATACCCAGATGGAAGCACAAACAAGGACCAGTCCAGAACAAGGATTCGGGATTTACTTCCCAGAACTGGACCAAACCGACTCATACAAGAAAGTACTGTCCCGTATTCCCGGATACCAAAGTATTGCACGTGCCGAAGCGTTCGGAGTACTTGCAGCACTTATACTCACAAAACAAGAAACTAACCTCACCATACACTGCGACAGAAAACCTCTGGTCGATCAGATTAACAAATTCCAGAAGAGGAAACCTTGCGCACACGAGCTGCGCCGGCTGAAAGATGGATCACTGCAACTACGAATCCTTGAAGAGATCCAAGCGCGAACAGGACATACAACAATTGTCCATGTCAAAGCTCACATGCGGGATAAGCCCACAGTCACCCCGTCTGGACAGGAACCTGACACCCCACAAATCGCAGCAACTAAAGAGCATCAAGAACATAACAAAAAGGCAGACGCAATTGCTAAAATGAGCATCGAGGGAGAAGACCTTACAGTCCCAGACGAGCAGAAATATTTAGCACCTGTCTCCATCCTACTCGACGGACTCGGAGACAAACGGTCAAGCCCCACCTTTGAAAACCACCCCCTCAAACTCTACCAAACCACGTACAGACAAACACGGCAAATCTACCAATACAATGGCAAATGGCACGAATACCTGTTCAATGAAAGTATATGGCAAACCCCCTCACTATCTATACTTCATGGCAAAAAAGACTACCCGCTCAAAAAATTTATGGTACAAATTCAGGCTAGGCAGAACCCTACCAACACTGCATCGTCTCCACAAGATCCGGCCACAAATCTTCCCGGACACAAAGTGCTATCTATGCAATCAAGAAATCAACGAAACAATCGAACACATCAGTTACTGGTGCCCATTCTTTGAAAAGAATCGACAAAATCTCATACAAGAATGCACGACCATATGCAAACGGCAGACCAGCAGAGTTTCCCGGAACGAGATCAGCCGCACCCTGCGGAACTGCCTTTTCTCCCCAACACAGGACTCGGAGCGGCTTCTATCTGCAGGCCAACTCCCCCTGTCTCTGAAAACATGGCTCATGGCCAACTCCAAAACAACCGAAGACGCCACAGAGAAAGCGGGGAAGAAAATCCACCGGACAATAATCTCAGCGTACAAAGAGATGTGGAATGCGCGCTGTGCTGAAATGCGCGATCGCAAACTCTTGTTCAAGGACAGACTCAAACTTTTCCCGATACAAAAACCTCTACATGAGATGACCGAAGACGACTTCCTGAGCTTTGCAAAAGCCTGGCAAAAGCAAGAGAAGAAGAATAACCCGACCACTGACCGGAATCGCCTTCCCCAGAAGGCAGGAGCTCGAACAGGAAACAAACGGACTGTGGGCACCAACGGACCCCCATCCATCCGAGGTAAACCTACACAGTCCAACGGAAGTAAGTTAGCAGAGCCTACAATTACAAACTCAAAAGCACCCGTTGCCAAAAATATTGCACAGCACAACAACCTCAAACGCCTAAGAAATCCTACCACACAAAACCCAAAACCTAATGACGCCTTCGAAACGGATGACGAATACTTCAAAGGCCTGTTACACAAACAAATAGTAGCGGGCGATGGAAACTGCCTCTTCCGAGCCTTCCTTCGAGCTGTAGGCCAGTGCGACAGTAATCACGACCAACTTCGTCAGGCCTGTGTCCAGCATATCATCGCACACTGGCCCCGATACAATGCCCAAGCCAATTGGATTCATAGGGAAGCGCCACAATTACAGGCAATGCAACACCCCTTCCCGACAGCCACACACTACAAAGACTATATGCTCCTGACCGATAGTGCATGGGGCTCTGATCTGGAGGCCCTGGCAGCAGCCGAACTGCACAATCGGTCAATCCTAATCTGGTCAACAAGAGGCAATATACATGGATTCCTCATGAACTATACGGAACAAACAGCCACCCAAGGAGCAATACACCTGCTACACTCTGGGAATCATTACGATGCTCTTATACCAAGCTCGGTTGATCGAAATCGACTCAGCACTAGCATCCTCGCAACAAGATCTTCTGCAAGATTTGCCTCAAGAATTGACTTGACGGTACGGTTGATGAACACAGAACCACAACTAAAACGACAGAAGACAGGACCCACATCGGATAACAGGACACAACCCGAGCACAGCAAGCTGAAGGTCAAATCTCTTCGTTCCTCTGACCATGAATCACACAACCACCAAGCGGACAGCCAAGTGCCACCCCCAACCCCCCATCAAAAAGGCCCCCAGATGCCCCAACCGCTGCCTCATACTATAACTTCCAACAAAACACAACCACTTCACGTTTCCAATCCGGAAGCTCACACGCTCTTAGGCAAACGAAGACTTCCCCTGTGGCTGACAGACAATGCAAAAAACTTTACTACCAAAAGACAGCGCCTACTCAATATGAAACCAGACCACCTAGCACACACCATGACCAGCAATCAGCAGAAGTTTGGCACTGCAGCCATCAACACTAAAAGGAAGAGGCCCCACCAGCAGCAACCCTGCCCAGCAACCCAGGTTACCAAAAAACCCAAGTGCAAACTCACCTCAATTACAATGGAGACAATGACGGGACGGTTGCCCAGCAATCAACACCACCTTACCCAAACGCGGACCGCCCACCAGCAGCCCTGCGCCCAAAGAACACGATAACCCCAGGAGACCACTCCAGCCGCTGTGCCCCAACATGCAGACGGTGACCAGACTCAACTACGACTCAGTGTGACAGAATCGCCAGTAAAAGCGCGCCATCGCGTATGCCAGCCAGCAGTCTCCTTTTGACGAGCTGCTTACGGCCAGATTGTTGACCCAAAAAAAAAAAAAAAAACCCTTGCTCCGCTGAACGCTTATGCGTCTCAAAGCCACTGTCCGCCCCACTGCTCCAAGCTCGCCACGCGCTACTGCGCCGCGGCTCGATGGTCAAACCCTGTCCGCTCGCGTCCCCGCGCGCGGTCCTAAATCCGCCGATCGAGTCCACGTCACCACCGCGAACCTTCAAACCATTCGCGGACGGTCAGCACTGGATCAGAGCCTTTACAGATCTCTGGACCATGCACCCGACTTTGACTCGCTCGGTGGGTTCGGCCCAAAATTTTATGATCGACCATCAGCAGCAGCGCAAGCAGTGCATAAGTTTTACACGAGACTCTAGTCGATAGAGCTCCTTAGTTTTCAGCTTGAGAAGCTGGCACAGACTGTGAATCGAGGTCAAAGCGCCAGGCCTTCATTGACCTTGCTTCATCGGGGCATGGCGATAGGTCTTGAAGATCCAAGAGCCAAACGCATCAGATGGTGAAGACATGATATCGTCTAGGGCCGTCAGTCTCAGGCCGTCAGTCTCGAAGTTGTGGTCCGGTGAAGGGAATTAAAGACAGCTTACTGGCGGGGTCAGGTGCATATGCATGGCTGCAACCACCTCATAGCAGCTGTGGTTCCTGCCACCGGTTTGGGCCAAATTTGGTGACGTCCAGGAGGGAATGACCTGGATGGCAAGGATGCAAAGTGCGTCGATTTTGAGAAATGGACTTCAAGCCGTTCCCTAGTTGTTGTGCATTCCGCATTCTTTGGCACACCCTCTGGTGCATTGTATGCGGGCGCCTGATGAGTGCCATGTTGAGCGGCTAGTCTGTGGCTGCACGTAACGCATTCCGTTGGGAGGTCCCCGAGCATGAGCCCCATGCAGTCGCTAGGCCCCACTTGGGACCTCCAGGCGCCAGCCCCAGGCGTATTAAAACGTCTGAGTTCCTTACCTAGTGAGATGGACAACACTCGGTTGCTGAAGATCAAGAGTAGCACGGGCGCAAAAGGGCCCTGCCTAAGGGAGGCCGACCGTGCCAGCTTAAAGGAAGCGGCGCCGTTGACGCAACAGGATGATGTCAGCGCCTCCTCCACTGGTATCAGAGCCGTCGCTCTTCTCCAGAGCGACCACGCCCTCCATGCTCTGACCACCACCGTAGGGCAAGAACTAGGCACTGCGCTGATGCCAGCGGAGCGGCCCAAGGGCCCCGCTGACGTCGGCGAGGTCGTCGGCTATGCTGATCTCCTGCGGTCTCGGGGAAAGACAGCGGAAGCGATGTCGCTCTACGACTGCGCCCTCGGGGCGGACCCGCGCTGCGCCCCGGCGCTCGTCGGGAAAGGCGCCTGTTTGCAGCAGCAGCAGCAGCCGCGCGCGGCGTTCGCGTGCTTCGTCGGGGCGCTCGCGCTGGACCCCCTGAACGTGCAAGCCCTGACGTGGTGCGGGTTGTTTTACACGGAGGAGGGGCACCTGATGGAGGGGATTGAAGTGAGCGCATTCACAAGAATAAGACTTGAGAATTAAAGGGTTGACGTGACAGGGACAAAATGGAGAAGGGTGGCAAGTGTAGTGTGGCGTCGCCGTTGGGAGGCAATCGATGGGAGCCTTTGTAAAGCGGAACAGATCGGTGGGAGCCTCAAATGGTCCAAACAGAGTTTTTTGATCTCAGTCGCTTCTGATGGATACCTGTCAAGGTGCCCAAAAGGTGGCAGCTTTACAACAAAGTATGCAGAGTTTCAACTGTTGGTCCGTCTGCCAAGCTGAACCTACCGTCTTGTTTGTCCATATCATGATAAGAGGATGTCGGTTCGAAGAGCGCGGTCCTTTGAAGCTTGCTTCCTTCACTTTGATGAGCTTTGTGTCTCGCACCTGGGACTGGGCTTCCTTGTGGCAATGTCCGTATTACTCGGTGAACGGTCACACATATACATGGGGTGCAGGCATTTCAACCCGTTAGATGAACAAGGTCCCACATATGGTTATTTTATCACGACGTTCTGCAGGCGTTCCGGAAGGCGCTGGTGCTGCAGCCGGACTTTGCGGAGGCAAAGGAGCACCTGGCGATCGTGCTCACGGACCTAGGCACGCGGTTCAAGCTGGCGGGCAACGCGCAGGAGGGCATCCAACGCTACTATGAGGCAATTGAGGTCAACCCGCGCTGTGCGGTGAGCCACTCTGCGCAGCACTGAGCCGTACTTGAGTTTACGTTTTGCGTCATGCCGCTGACACTTTGGGGCGCTTGAAAAACGTAAGAACGGCTCTCATGTTTTGAACTGTTCGGTGTGGACAGCGTGGGGGATGCTCGAATTTTGTCTAATGATCGTAACGAGCTTCGCAGATTTGTGTCGTCTTTGGAGGGGCCTGCCCCTGGTAAAGCTTGCTTACCTACAGAGTTGGTTAAGGGGGTTTGGATAACGTCATGAGGTTGTACGTCCGCATCACGTTTTTGCCGTCTTTGTCTGAGGTGCAGCCAAAGCGCTACACGTTCAAATTTCCGTGTAGTTTGACGATCAGATTTGCCACATGCACCTTCTCTCACATAGTAGGCTTCCCCCGGAAACTGCTGCTAAAGATCAACTGATTTGTGCACTGATTGACCATACAATCCCTCTTGTCCCAGCCCGCATACTACAACTTGGGCGTTGTGTACTCTGAGATGGGCCAGTACGCGCACGCGCTCAGCTTTTACGAGAAGGCGGCCCAGCTGCGGCCGCTTTACGCCGAGGCGCACTGCAACATGGGCGTCATCTACAAGGACCGGGGAGACTTGCTCGCGGCCATTGCGTGCTACGAAAGGTGGGGTTAAATCCTAGGACACTACTGTAAAGATCGTTATTGTGAACGATGTCAAAGCAATTGCCAGAGATATCAAAAAGTTTGCTGACGACCGTCATTGCTTGCCGAGAACTGATCCCGTTGCGTCCTTTGCGGCTTTGATTGAATTGTGGATTAGAAGTCTCATTATCTGCCGACGGATCCGAGTCGATGAGCGGTGGAAGCGAAAACATTGGTGCATGAGCCGTTTTGGCAAGACAGGCAAGTCTTGTGAGGTCGGCTGATTGGAAAGTCTCTGGCTAGTCCAGGTCAAGGGAAACTTGTGTAAGCTTCTGAGAGGTGGAAGTATTCTTCTTGAAAGAAAAGCAAGGCTTCCAAGAAGCCACCCTTTCAAGACCCTTTAAGGACGCGTTGGTGGCGGCTCGGCAGGTGTCTAATGGTCGCCCCCAACTTCACAATCGCCCGCAACAACCTCGCCATCGCGCTCACCGACCTGGGCACCAAGGTGAGACGAGTGGAGCTTTTTTTGGCCTGTTGCCAACACTTGACTTCATGGACACAATCAGTTTCAGCGTTCAGAATCCTATATCATTCTCAAGAGGGCGTCAAATTTCAAAGCACATGCGTGCATCTGATTCCTGAGGGGACAAAGATTTCATCTGACGGCTCAGATTCGATCTTGAAAGCTGCCTTTGGCGACCGATGCGGAGCACTTTGGTCGCTTGAGGTAGGACCGGCGCCCACTTCAACTAGCCATCCTGTCTGAGTCAACCAAGTTACCAAGCTACGAATCGTGCCACTACAGAACAGCTGGGTTCCTGAGGCAAAGTAGTGAGAAAATGCGTGCGCGGCATTCTTTCAAACCTCTGTGCTTCAGTCCGAGGCTAGGTTCTGCGCCTGATTTGGCTGATGTTTGTCGTGTCGTCTCAGGAGGTGCGCGCTCTTTGACGTGGTTAGTTGTGTTAATATTTGGTGGGTGCATCTGGTGCGTGAAAGGCCTGGTTGAAGTTGTTTCGTGTCCGTCCCGAGTCAAGGGTTCCCGTCTTTCCAAACAGAAGCTGTAACCGATGACCATCCCCAGTGGTAAGAGCCGGTCCAGAAACCGCGAACCCAGCCGCTTTGCAGCACAGAAAAATACTTCTTTGCGCAAGCTGCAAGCCAGCCGTCACAGCGTTAGGATAGAGGCCAAGAATCTGGTCGTCATCCTGATCAGAGCGGAGTCAAAGACCGACGTTCTTTCGAGCAGAATTTATCTCGATTTCTCTCTATCTCAGCCTTTTTGGCTTCTGTTGGAAATCTCTCGATCTCAGCAGAAATTGTTAAACGCCACGTCAGATTTGACATGCGAAATACATACCAAGCCGTATCAAACCACGTGGCACCGTGCAGGTCAAACTGGACGGCAACCTGCAGCAGGGCATCGCATACTACAAGCGAGCGCTCGTGTACAACTCGCACTATGCGGATGCTATGTATAACCTGGGGGTGGCCTATGGCGAGATGCTCAACTTCGACATGGTGGGCCCATGCTCCATTCTTGAGTGACTCTGCTGCATCCAAACCTGTTTGCACGAGGGTCTGAACAAGAGGTTTGCGCACAACCGGCCTGCCTGCAGTATTATGGTCGTTCGCTTTCTTTTGAGTCGTTCCGTTTGACTTCCTTTTCCTTGCAGAGCAAGATCAGGGCGACTTCAGTGTTTCGTCAAACAGGTTTTTCACACTGCCCGACTTTTGGATAAAGGATCTCCGGGCTTTCACGTGACCCTGTGGTCGCCCCGGAGTGGGCCCCAATGTTGCTTCTTACATTTTTGGCGTGGGCTTATGCACGATCAAATCAGGGTTTGCCCAAGAAGCATCTGATTGGTTGAAGTTTTTCACCCGAGGGTCGAGAACCTTGAACCCCTTAAAAAAAGCGTTGTTAACTCCCTGCCGATGGCGTCTCAAGCAATCCCTTTGCACCCTACAAATCCTCAGCCTCAAGACTCTGAAATCCTAACATCCGACACCTCTGCAGGCGATCGTGATGTACGAGCTGGCGCTGCACTTCAACCCGCAGTGCGCAGAGGCATGCAACAACCTGGGTGTCATCTACAAAGACCGCGACAACCTGGACCGCGCCGTCGAGTGCTACACCGTATGCCTTTCGACCTTCAGCAAACATTCGCTCTGATGTTCGTCGCACTTCCAAAAAGTGCTGAATTGGATTCCGGAAATTGGGTACTTGAGCCTGACCGATCGTTTAGCATAGCCGGAAATGCCGCGAATCCCCGTATGGTTGACTTTGCCACCCTCGGTACAGTTGTTTTGCCGCGGCGACAGGGTTCCAACAAACCCCTCGTTCTACTGGTAGTGTATCCCCGCATTAGCCAGCGAATATTGATACTTTGTGACATTTCCGCTGTTAGCTTTTCGAGGAAAGTTGGACCCATTACACAACTTTTCCACTTCTTGCACAACCAGACAAGAAGTATGCCAAAACGAAGAACCCGTTTCTCTACTGCAGATGGCGCTGCGCATTAAGCCTAGCTTCTCCCAATCGCTCAACAACCTGGGCGTAGTCTACACGGTGCAAGGCAAGATGGACGCCGCGCTCACCATGATCCAGGCCGCCCTGGCCGCCAGCCCTAGTTACTCAGAAGCATATAATAACCTGGGTGAGTGAGAGCTTTCAGAATTTCATAGGTTGACCCGTTCTGCAACCGGCTCCGAAGCAGACGACCGAGCAGTTTAGACCATGAAACATGTCAAATTTTCGTTGGAGTCCAGGGTTTGTGAGCCGAAAGCTTTCTTCGTCGGCCAACGGCGAGTAAACAGTTTTCGTCTGTTTCTGACGTGCTAGAGAACCTGACAGCTCCTTTTGCAACTGGGAGACCAGCTCTTTGAGTGACGCCAAGGTTGTTTGGGCGTCGACAGAGTCAGTATTGGCATGATTGGGGCGAACGGTCCGGCAGGATGCTTCGGGCTGGATATACAGGCGTAAACGCCCTTTTTAACCCCAGTCAACTCTCACAATCGTGCAATGGCAGAAGCACAATTGCGCAAGCCTCCGTGTTGACCACATGAAGCACAGGGGACTGGGTTGCGAGGCCTGACTGACGAAACGCACCATGACCGAAGTTAGAGGGCACAAGTCGGGGGTAGTGCACCTTTACTGCTTGTTACGTAACGCTAAACGGTGTTTGCTGCTTCGCGTTACGTAAAGCCGTTCGCTGCTCGCAGGCGTGCTGCACCGGGATGCGGGGAACATCCCGGCCGCAATCAAGGCGTACGAGCAGTGCCTCAGCCTAGACCCGGACTCGAGGAACGCGGGGCAGGTACGCGAGCCAAGTCGGGGTTCTCCTGGGAGTCCGCGGTTGAGGGCTTAGCCGCATGTTGCTGTCTCGTATCCTCCGTTTGGCAGGATATTTCACAGTGCTGTGCCTGAAACCGTCTCAACCTGAAATCGCATGGAGACAAGTGTTGCTACGCGTCATGACCGTGTGGGAGGATGCGAAAAGTGCTTGCCGGTGATTAGGGGCGGCCGTCTTGGTTTATGAGTCCCCAAACAGATAGCTATCGTCCTCATAACGTGGTCGAGACCGTTCTTTTCAGTTCGAAGACTTCCAGAAACCCCTCCTGTACCTCGAGTTCATGAAAGCAGTCCGCAAGCACAACCATCGAGCTTTTGCCAACTGTGAATTGTCCCCTCTTTCTGCGCTCCAGAACCGGCTCCTTGCCCTGAATTACATCCACGGGGGCGAAGACGACTCTCTGTTTGAAGCCCACAGGTGAGCCGCTCGCGCACGCAGCGTTTGCACTTGCCACGTGGGCAGCCACTATGAATGCTTTACGAACCTCGGTGTCTACCCGTCCTGAGTCGGACCTCGCTCATGACATACACGCCTTCCTTAGGAGTACCTGCATTCCAGCGGCATCGCTTTTGAGGTCTGGAAACCCTCGATACAAACCCTGGTAGTTTACGACCCTAGCGAAAGAACGCCTCCTGGCTGTGGTGGTCGAATCTGGCTTCGAGACCCCTGCAGTGCTCCCTCTCTACTTGATATCGTGTCTGTATCCGGGGCTGTCTAGAATCTGGTCGGCCGCTGTCATGCGTCCTGGTCGGGCCTTCGGTTCATCGTCACGACATCGTCTCAAGACTCAACTGGCAGTTTGTCGGGCAAGTAGGCTGGTAAAATAAGCAGCGTAGATACAAATCGTCATATCAATCTTGACCAGTTTGGTTTTGTTGTCGGTTTGTGTCCCAAGCTTTGGTGTTTTACCCTCAGCAGTTGTGGTGTTGTCTCAGGTGTTACCTTCAACAACTCATCAAGAGTTTAAAGGGAGGCTGGTTCTGCCTTCAAGTTCGTTGTTTGCACTATGTTTGTCTCAATTGCAACAAGCGTACCAAAGTTGCACTTCTCCCAATCACAGAGACTGGGGCCGCCGGTTCAGCACCCTGTTCCCGAAGTTCGACACGTGGCCCAATGAGAAGGACCCAGAGCGGCCGCTCGTGATTGGCTACATCTCCCCCGACTATTTCACGCATTCGGTGTCCTACTTCATCGAGGCGCCGCTCACGCACCACGACCCGCAAAAGTACAAGGTCGTAATCTACTCAGCAGTTGTAAAGGTGAGTTGTTGCGAAAATGCGAGATAGTCTTTTGTGGGAGCGTGCGACAGCCTTACCATTTACGGAAGTTTGCTGGTCCGTTGAGGAGCGGACAAAGGATTGTTATCGATTCTCGAACACGGGGTCACGCAGGCTGGGCGGGAAGTTCAGGATGTTTTCATCAACACTTTGTCAGGACAGCCCGCAGCTCGTCTTTTCATCGCTTCCCTGGCCGCCGCTTGTGGACTGGCATGCGTAATCTTCTCTGTGACCCACCTAAAGACCTATCATCTGAAAACCAGAGACCCGCGAAAACTCGCGCCAATTGGTGTTAATCCCGTTTCATCTTGGTTTGAACGCTGACTGAACCCGGTCCGAAACGTGTTCGAAAGTGGACCACTCCTCGTCCCAACTCGGTCTGAGTCTTGTCCAAAGCCGGTCCGAGGGTGCCGAGTGTATGGAATATTCTTGATTCCTACACAGGCGGACGCTAAGACCCTGCGTTTCCGGGAGGCGGTTGTGGCGCGCGGCGGAGTATGGAAGGACGTATACGGCGTGGATGAGAAGCTGGTGGCGCAGGCGGTGCGCTCCGACGGGGTGGACATTCTGGTGGAGCTCACGGGGCACACAGCCAACAACAAACTAGGCGTGGCAGCGTGCAAGCCTGCACCCGTGCAGGTGGATTTCTGGCAGCTCTGACTCCAAGGTTTCGTCCCCCACTGACGCATGCGCAACTCGGAACTCTGTCTTTCACAAAATCAAGATATATTGTAGTCCTGGAAGACCTGATGAAGTGCACTGGGCACAGCGGCAAGAAAAATACGCGTAGCGGCGTTACAAGATTGAGCGCCCGTGCACTTCGTATCACTCTGGAAGTCTTGCTTTCAGAGGTGCAACCTTGCTGGAGGCTCCTTCAAGTCTTCACTGAGTCGCCTGTCAACGCAGGCACCTTGACGCGGGGCTTATCCATCTGATCATAGACTCCTTCAAAAACTTTCGTATCCAGAGCACGAGGCGGCTGACGATTGCAAAACGTTAACACCAGCGCTCATCGCAAGCTTCCGCACGAATGCGCAGGTAACTTGGATCGGCTATCCTAACACCACCGGACTCAGTACAGTCGACTACCGGATAACGGACGAGCTTGCGGATCCGTCCACCACAAAGCAACGGTGAGCGGCGCGAATCTGTTTGGAGCGTCGACATTGAAGCCGTCTTCTCGCTCTTCATTTGGTGTCACGTTGGACTGTACCTTGGCCCGTTATGGAAAGGCGTGCCCAAAGTCTTTAAGTTCTGAGGTTACACCCACCAATCTGGGTTTATAGAGCGGAAAAAAGGCCACACGTGAAAGGTTTGACGTTGTCGTGAATGTTTGGCTTTTGACGGTTTGGGATGCACGAAGATGCACGAGTATTTGTCGCAGGGTTTCCCCCTCTCCCGATCTGCAAAATTTCAAATCATACAACTCCTTCGAATCATCACGTCTGCGCGCAAGTTCTATCAATATCAGACCCTCCATCCCAGTGCTTCCGACGACTCGTTTCAGCCTCTGCACCTTTCTTTTCCGTCTCCACTTGAAGAGCCCTGCTGTTCTCTACACAGGTCTTAGCCCTCTCCGCCCTTCAAATTTTTCTTCGTTTGTTTTGTTTTACCCTATTCTCAATTCTATGATCATCTTCACGTTTTCAACTCAGACTTCTGCGCCCTTTCCGCAGGCACATTGAGACCCCCCTCCGGCTGCCCCGCTGCTTCCTGTGCTACACCCCCTCCCTGGAGGCCGGCCCAGTCGCCCCCACCCCCGCGCTGTCCAACAACTTCGTCACCTTTGGGTCGTTCAACAACCTGGCCAAGATCACCCCGCGCGTGCTCAAGCTGTGGGCGCGCATCCTCAAGGCGCTGCCGGGTGAGCGGACTACTATAATCTGAAGTTTTTAGGGTTTTGGGCTTCTGGTTGTTCGAGATTTCGATCGTTAAGTGGTGTCAGGGTCGTTTTATTTTCAGGCTGGGTTAGAAGGCTTTTCAGGTCAATTCTCTTCGCTCGTCTAAGATGAGGAATGTCAAAGATTGATCTCTGTCTCTTTGTGAAGCTTTCTGCTGGTAGTTGGAGATCAGGATTGAGAGTCGCTGTCAGTCAGACGGGGGTGAACGAAACCTTTTGTTCGACGTGGCCGAGCGATGACGGTGGTGACTGGTCGCCTCTCCACCGATTCGGCTCTTTCCCAAGATTCTTTCCACAAATACTTGACCCGAAACCCTCATTCCATTCCTCCAGGCGCCCGCCTGGTGGTGAAGTGCAAGCCGTTTTCGTGCCGCTCCATCAGCGAGCGGTTCATGGCGTCCCTGGAGGCCGAGGGCGTGGACCCCGTGCGCGTCGACCTGCTGCCGCTCATCCTGCTCAACCACGACCACATGCAGGTACGTCTCGATCTGGTTGAAGTGGGCGCAGGACATGCGTGTCCAATCCAGGCAATTCACGTCGCTGGGCGGTACATCGGGTCCTTCTAGAACCTCCAACTTACTGAGGGTCGATCTTCCGAGCTTACCGTTTTCCGGCGCCCACTTTCCCAATAACCCCAGTGAAGAGTAAGCTTATTGACTTCGAGTAGAACCTTAAAGCAACGGCTCCTGCTCTCCGCCTTTCACATAACCTAAGCTCATACGTAACCTCACCCGTCTTGACGACTGTTCACCGGCCATGGATGGACCAACCCAGTCGCACATCCCAAGGCTCTCACAAACTGGACGTTTGAAACCGTGGTCGTGGAAACCGTGACGCTGTCGGAGACATCTGCTGACGTGAGACAAACTCCGACTCTCACCTTGAATGTTGCCTGAACCAACCGTCACACGTGCAGAGCTACGCGCTGATGGACATCAGCCTCGACACGTTTCCGTACGCGGGAACTACGACCACGTGCGAATCGCTCTACATGGGCGTCCCTTGCGTGACCATGGCGGGCGGCACGCACGCGCACAACGTCGGGGTCACGCTCCTCAAGCAGCTCGGTGAGGGCGTTCATATAACTTTGTGGCCGGTTTCGGATGCGTTTTTATCGCTTCTATTCCGGATTCCTTTTCGTAGTAAAGAAAAAAAGGACTGCTTCTGCTCTTTTTCCAGTCTCTGAGTACGCTTCAGCAGCAGCGCTTTTACCCCTCCCTTGTATCCTCGTTCTGTATTGCACGCCTCCTTTCGGCTCTTTTGCTCCTTTCTTTCGTTGATTTTTTCTTTTCCTTCCCCTTGTCTATAAGGCCATGTCGATCTTTCGCCCAATCAAAGGTTGTTACAAATCAAGTTTTCACACAAAGAGTGACGTGCTACTGGCTAGGTCGTTTCCGGAATGATGATTGAGGCGTCCGGCACTCAGTAGGAGTCTTGAGCGGACATGAGAATCGCTGTTCTGGACTTCAACGAAGCAACGGTGTTTCGAATGGCACCCAAGCACACAAGCCACATAAGCATCTAACAAAAGCTTTTCCCATCCGCAGGCCTCGAGTGTCTCACCGCCCACTCTCCGGACGAGTACGTCACCACCGCCGTCCGGCTCGCGTCCGACATCCCCCGCCTTGCCGCGATGCGCGCCGGCATGCGGGACCGCATGCTCACCTCCCCCCTGTGCGACGGGCCCTCTTTCGTACGCGACTTGGAATCCGCATATCGCAAAGTATGGCGAAACTACTGCGCCGGGCGGCCGCCCTCCGGCGTCGGGGCGGAGAGTTCCGCGACGCCCACGGATGGGGGGGAAGTTGTTGCCCCCAAGGAGACCCCCCCGCTGCCGCACAGCGGCAGCTCGGGGAGCTCGGCGGAGTCCCCGACGTCGTCGCTGTTTCTACGGACGGACGACTCGGGGGGGAGCTCCGGGGGAAGTTTGGAGGAGATGGCGGAGGAAGCGGCGGGCCGGGGAAAGACGCTGAGCCGGCTTCGAAATGCCTCTAGCTGATTTTCGAGGGTCTCTGTCTGAGGAGAATCAATTGCGGTGGGTGTTGTGCGTGAGCGCCAGCCGAAATTGCGTCGGAATCGGGTAACACATAACGACAAGGCGTTTGAGCTTGTCGGAGGGGGGGAGTCTGGCGCAAGATCCCTCCGTCGCACAGTCAACTAACACGTAAAATAGAGACTGACATGAGCAGGGGGAGGGCTTCAGCGTCCGGGATTTGAAGTGGGGAAGGCGCTGAGGGCGGGGTCTGGGTACGAAAGGTATTTGTGTCTTCCAAGGCAGGCGTGCGAAAGCGGCTTGTCGAACATCCATACGCTCAGCAGACATTTGACAGATAAGATTCTTGATGATTGGGTCGATAACAACCTTAAGGTGCTTTTCATGGCAGACGGTTTAAGGCTGTAGGAAACGCCATTTCGACTTCCATGTGACTCAAAGTACATTGCAGTGCTTGTGGTACGGAGATGTGCGTCGAGCTTTTCATTTGCGGGTCAAGTAAATTGGTTGACCACACGTGACACCATTTCACTCAGCATTGACCAATCAACTAATCATTTACAGGCTTGCCCCAAACGATATCGAGCCGATGGCGCGTTCCAGAGCTAGCCGCGTACAATCATAGCCTGAGGCTTCAATGATGTGTGTATTCGCAAATATAATGATCATGCACATGCACTCTGAAGGCATCCGGACCGAACATCACAAGCCTAGTTCGTATCTGCTGGTTTTGGTGGTTCAGATCCCGCGGGGGCGGCTGCGCATATACATTATGCAGTGAAGCATGATGGTGCGTGTCTATCTTTGTAATATATATGCCATCATTATAGCATGCGCGAGCTGCGATCGAGCTGCCAAGTGACCTCTTTGCAGTCAACGGTCGTCGATCAACTATATGGCTTCTCTGAGAAGTTCTCAAGACAACATCCGTCAAGTCGAACCGTGCTAGCTCATTGCAACTATACTACTATGATAGCATCCAACAAGTGACTTGATCTGGATCTGCTTTCAATCTGATCGCAAACAGACCTCTTCGTGTTATTGCAGCTTGAATGCTTGTTGAGTGAAACCATTCAGGTCCACCAGATTGTAGGTCGTAAAATATAAGCACGTCTCAATACTAATGGTTTGGTACAGCTACCTACACTTCTGATTCAAGTACACTCTCTTTGCAGAAGCTTATCCACAATGAGGATTCAACGAAGTATGACCATGATCTATCCAACACAATATGTAGATATATACCACAAAGAAATGTTCCTGCATACATGAACCTTGCAACATGCCAGAACTGTACACTCAAAAACACAAGAACGTTCACAAGGCACCCTCCGCAAGACAACAGTAGCCCGCCTGCTGCAATCCCTAGCTTTTGAGCTCTTCAATCATTTGACTTGGCTTCTTTGACTCCTGACTCGTGGCTACGTGCGCCAGTACTCCGGCGGCTGCCCCTACGCATGCGCCCCCGAGCGCAGTGCGGGGGGCTATTAGCACTGCCGAAGCTGCCCCCCCGGCGAGCATTCCCACCAGGCTGAAGTAGTCGGTGCGCTTTTGGCCCTGGTTGTAGTGCAGCTTGTAAACACGCTCCCGGATGCCTTCCTCGTCTAGGGGGGTGCCCCAGACTTTGTAGACGCCAAGACCGCCTAGTGTGAACGGGCAAAGATGTGAGATTCGCCACATCGAGACGCATCTGGGCGCTTGTGTTGGAGGTCAGACTCTCTTTCTTTCTGGCTTCGTCTGGGGGGGCTCATTGGGATTTTAAAAGCGGCCAGTTAGTTGGAGAAAAGGAGCCCTGAGAAAAATAAGAGGAAGTTGTTGCTTGTAGTGACTGGTCCACAATGTTCTTGCTGCGGTATTTGGACCTGTCTTTGGTTGTCAGGACACCTCTTTGTGTGGAATGCTATGGGGCTTTGGACTATATAATCGCTTCTTTCTAAAAGCTGAGAAAAGCATTCAATCGTGAACGATGAAGGGGACAAGGACAGTCGTTCCAGAGAAAGCACGTCAGGTCTAAGGGGGTGAATCAAATGGTCAAGATTCTACCCTTGAGGGAAACCTGGACTACCAGACAATCATGTTGACCAGACGCTGGTTGCGTCATACCAAGTACAGGCCACTAGGTTTTGACAATTTGGGGCCATTTCAATGTTAGCATGAGGACTTCTCCAAGGCAAAAAACTCAGAGCAGCATCACTGCGCAATGAGCCATCCCAATGACCAATTCTTTGACCAACCTCAAACCAGCATTTGCACCTGACGGTCATGCACGCAAAGCAAAGGACCCACCTGAGAGCAACGTGCCCACTCCCGCCGACCGTTCCACCACCGCAAGCGCAGACGGGATATAGCTTCCGGCAGCCTTACGGAACACGTAATGCCGCACCGCAAGGGGCAGCGCGATTGCGCACCCGAGGAGGGAGCCCGCTTGGAGGCCCTTAACCAGAATGTGCATAAACAGCTTTTGCGTGGCGTTCTCTGTGATGGTGTCAACGTGCTCGTTGGCGCCGACCGATGCCGGCGGGGGAGCCGCGGGCCCTGCGTCTGTCATTGTGCGCAACAGAGAAGCGTTACACAGCGAAATGCGGAGTGCGAGTTGATGGGACTCTGCGTACTTATCACGCTCAAAATGCTTGACTGGACAACAATAGATGGATATGCTGAAGTTGCGATCAGCACGAGAAGCAATTGAAGAAAAGAGGCAGCAATGCTGCACCAACCGGTGGGCAGATTGCAGGTTTGCAACCATTGGAAATGCAATCATTGTGCGCGGGTGCGCGCCCATGAGATATTTCGCAGCGCCGTCGTGCATGAGAGATCTGCGAAGTCAAAATCATGGAGAAGAAGTTGGATCTTTATCGTTGAACTCGTGATCGAACGGTGCGAGTAAAACAAAGGGTTCCATCGACGGCTTAGACTTGTGAGCTTGTTGCTAACCCTGACGCGGATTTTCATCCACTCGTCCAATCAGATTCGTCTTGGCTCCTTATCGAGCAACTCTGCATCGCAGTCCCACGAACTTCCAAAGTTGGCAAGACTTGGGATTTGGAAAGCAGGGGAGAAGAGCTGGATTTTGGTTTGCCCCAGGGGCGCCCAGTTTTTCCTTGCCCCTCGTGTGTCGGTCGTTGAGAGCTACTGGCCAGCAGATCAAGGATTTTGTCATTACCTACGCCCTTTCCCGGTCAGTCGACCGCTCCGCGTATGTTGGGTAGCCTGCAAGGAAGGAGAATTAGGGAGTTGTGCGTAGTGCATTCGAGGTGAGGAAGGAGAGCACAACTCTTTTTGTAGCCGTTTCTGCTTGGGATTCTGTGCTGGAGATATCAAGTCCTGCAAAGACGGGTAGCTGGAAGCTGACTAGGACTTTTAGCTTTGCAGGCCCTCGGCAAAGTCCTCATCAGAACTTGTCATGAGCTTTCCAATTTCATGGTGGCACTTGGCCTCGTTCTGGAGATCTCTGTCTGCCTGAGCTTTGATGTGAGGTGGTCTAAGATAATCAGCCTGAATACAACAACCTGCAGCGTTGCAATCTACATTGCAGATTGTAGATTGGAAACGGAGTGGGTCTAGCGAGCAGCCACGATGCTGTGCACGGCGAATGATGAGACACTTCTGAGGCCTTCTTGAGTAAACACGCTTCATTGAGCAGGTTGAAGAAAGTCTTCACGTGTTGATTTCATTAGAAGCCTAAAGCAGACTCTTTTGCAAGAGAGCTCATGGCTTTGGCGCCCGCTCTTCACTTGCCATGGTCATACTGGCTTGTTGGCGAATGTATAAACTTGCCAAGTAGCCCCAGCTTAGATTACCTTCCACCTAACTCCACATTACTAACTGAAACCTGATTGCCTCCTGAGGCCACTACATGATGCTTTGGCCAACATACTCTTACTCAGCAATCAGGCTTCTAATCGTAGGGATTGCGCTTGCATCACAGGAGGAGCTGATGGCGACAAATCCAAAGCCCGACAAGGCTTTGGCCGCTGCGGCCCTGGGGGTTCTCCAGGGAACTAGAGGAGGGGGGCAGGGAGGGGCAGACAGCCCCACCAAAGTGACGGGGGGGCCGTCCGCCCCCAAGCCACAGCAGCCTCTGGATCCAGAGAAGAAGAAAGTAAAGAAGATGAAGACGGCCAGCAACAAGGCTTTTGCAGAATTCAAGAGGGATGTTGGCAGCAGGCTGACCAGGATTGAGCAACTACTGGAGCAGGTAAGTAGCTGTGGTTAAACTGGACATGTGGCCGCGGTTTGGGGGCAAAGAATGGGAAGCTGTGCTAAAATCTGAGAATATTGTGGACACACAGGCTCCTCATGCACAAGATCTTTGCTGCAATTGAGTTCATCGCTTCAGCTTGACCAAAAAAGTGGGTCAAAACTTCACTTCTTCAATCTTTGCATTGTATCATTCTTTGGACTCTAGGTATCAGACGGTGCGTGGGAACGCTCGGCAGGGGCAGAACGCCTTTATCGCCTCTTGTGAGCCAGGCTGCGTGTTCTTTTCCCCCTCTTACCCCACTCCTTGTCACTCTTTATGCAGCAAGCCATCATGCTGCGGTACCCCGCCCCCATATACCCCCAGATGGTCCCCGCCCCCAATGGAGCCCCTCCCGCCCCATCTTCTTTAGCCCCCCGCGGACAAGCTTACCCCCCCCTTCCACCCCCGGCCAGGCCCCTACCCAAACCTTCCATATACCCCCCCCCATCACAGCCGCCAATCCAACCGAGCACGTCAGCAGTCTCGGGGGGCGCGGACGACGGAGACCCGAAGCGACGGCGGCTGTTTGCGGGGATGGACCTGCGGGACCACCGAAAGGTGTCAAACAAGCGGGGGGGGAGGGGCACGCGCAAGACGTGTAGAAAGTGCGCGGCGGAGGGGATTGAGAACGTGCTCCTGATGGGGCATAAGTGTCCGTATGGGGAGGCGAGGGCGGTCAGCGGGGTGAAGGAGGTCGCAGGAAATAAGAGGGCTAGCGACGGGACGCCTTTGAGTACGATTGATCCCATCCGGCCAAGGGGACCCATGCAGAGTATGCTGCCACCGGTGGATACGATGCTGGCCCCAGGGGCGATGGGCTTGCCGAGCGCTCCGCAAGGCGTGTTTGGGGCTCTTCCACCTCATCAACAACTTATACCCAGCTCCCAGTCTGGTACAGGGGGCAAGGCAGGATAGGGAAGGCCGGTGGACTTGTGAACCGACTTGGAGATGACAGGGCATGCAAGGTGCGAGGCAAAGGAGCGAGCTGGTCGGGTGCGTGCGAACGATGGGACCATGTATATTCGGATCTGCACACGATACTTGAAGCTATTAGATATAGGGACTTACCAACTGGATTTAGGAGCATGAGACATCCTTCATGTTAAGGAAAGCATTATCAAAGCATATGCGTTTGCAACTGGATGTCAGTCCATTCGCATGACTCAGAATCAATCTATATGCAGAAGGCTGCTGTTCACGTGCTGGTATTCTAGAAGGAGATGGGACTATTATTGATCCCGATTTGGTTCGCTTTTAAAAGCGCTTTCCCGATAGGTTAAGTGGGTCTCTTATCGGATGTTGCTGGGTGACCAGGGCAACGCTCACGTGTAATCAAATAGGTACTGTGGCAGAACAGCTCTGCCAGTATAGGCTCATCGCTCATGGCACCATGAATATACCTGCATCCGACGAATGAGAACTTATGTTTAGCATGTACTATACTCGAATATATGTATGCATACTAGCTAGCGCCATTACATATCCGTGGTCGGTTTAGCACCGATGCATATGCTGCTATATAGCCGCCTCAAAATCAGATGTTTATAGGCCTTATAGGAGCATGTTCCACCTACCTATATATACCGATGCAAGATGATGTATATACCTGTACATGCATGCATGTGTACAATCGACTGCATGCATGCGTCAACTAATAAACACACCGTAAGCTTGAAGAAGTCATTACCACCACGTTAAGTTGTGTAGATTGTTCAGAACCCTTGAGCAAAGCTAAGCCAGGCATGGCACAGGTATTCCGGAGTTGGACAAAACACTACTGAATTCACCAGTACGATTCAGACTGAAGTGCGTGCAACAGATCAAGGCTCATGCCAACTAGCTGGACTTGAAAACTTCACACGCATGAATGTGGTGAGGTCTAGAGTTCCCACCAGTGGCAATCGTTCGGCAAACTCAAAAGCTGTCTGAGGTCAGACTCGCACCAAAGGACGGAGCCAGGACTACCTATGCGGCCACTACCCTACTGGACTGAGAATTGTGCTTGGGTCTATACCCACGGACGTAATGAATCCTGGACCCGTAACCATGAACCGTATCCTCGTCTCCCGCATCATCAGTACGAGAGGAGCGGCCAGAATGAATTCTAGGGACAAGCAGCCACTTCGTGGGACCCTAGCTACATCAACGTGTCAAAAATGCACCTTTCATGGAACCTTGGCTACCGCTTCTTGGCCCCTGCAGGCCGCTTCGCCTTTCTAATCACCCGGCCCGACTTATCATCCCCCCCCATGCTTCCCACGCTGAAGCCAGCCCCCTGCCCGCTGTTGAACCCACCGAAAGACTGTGTCCCGGCTCCGAAGGGATTGGCGGCCGGCTGGCCGGCACCAAAAGCGGCATTCGGTTGCTGCGGTTGTTGGAACGGATTCGCGGCCGCCGGGAACGGGCTCTGCTGAGAGAAGCCAAACGCTCCAGGCTGTGGCGCGACCGACTGCGGCTGCTGACCGAAAAGTGGAACCGCTGGCGGGGCCAACTGCGCAGGTTGCGCCGGTTCCTCTGCCATACCGCTATCATCCATAGCGCTACCCGGTGACGGGGGCCCGTTCGACACCGTCCCGTTTGCAGTCGCCCCACCAAAGACCGGCGCGGCCGCAGCAGCACCAAAGCCAGGGAAAACGGGAGCGGCAGAACTAGCGGCGGCGGTGTTTTGGCCGCCAAAGGCAAACACGGCGGAAGTGCCGCTGGGTGTGGCGGCGGCCGTGAAGGAGAACGGAGCGGAGCTGGCCGGCGCCGATGCTTGAGCGCCGAAGAGCGCCGGTGGCGTCGTTCCGAAGCCGGTGAACGACGGTGTGCTCGCTGCTGACGTGGAAGAAGCATTACCGAAAATGGGTGCGCTCACTGCCGACGATCCGAAGGCGGGTGCTGGGTTGCTGCCAAAGGCAGGCGTGGACTGCCCCCCAAAGACGACTCCCGTGAACGTCGACCCCGTGCCGCCAAAGACGGGCGCCGTGGTAGATGTGGCAGGGGCGGCGGATGAGGGCTCCGCCGGCTTGGCGCCGCCGAAAGTGAACGCGGCTGAAGTCTCAGCAGGTTTGGGAGCGCCGAAAGGGTTTACGAGGGGCGTTTCGAACGATTTTGCGACTCCGAACGCCAAGGCCGGGGCGGCTGACGTGCTCGCTGACGTGAGGGTGCCGAATGTCAAAGGTTTGACGGTTTCAGGCGCTGCGCTCGTGCTTGGGGCCAATGCGGGGGGCTGCCCAAAAGCAAAGAAACTCGGTGCGCTGCTGCTCGCTGCCGCGGGAGTGGTCGAGACTGCGGGTGCTGCTGTGGTTGGCAGAATGGAAGCAAACCCGCTCGGCTTCGCGGGCGCCTCCGAGGCCGGCAGTGCAGACGTGCTGGGTGTCGCTGATTCCTTGTTGCCGTTGCTCTCCACTGCCGCGCTAGTTTTCTCGTCCGCTTTCGGGCCCAATCGGCCTGCCGAAAACACCCCCCCGAAAGCTGCCGTTGGCGCGGGCGCTGACACGGGCGGCGCGCCGCCCCCGAAGATCCCCGCTCCCTGCCCAAACGCCAGCGGTTGGCTCGGGGCCGTTTCCGCTCTGCTGGCGCCCCCTTCCGTCGTTCCGCTCTTCCGTGTCTTCAAGAACCCCATCAATCCGCTGTCCTCCGCAGCCGGGGCTGCTTCTTTTTGCCCCCCCTCTTTCGCCTCCTCAACTCCGTTGGCATCGCTCTCTGCTTTCCGCTTGCCGCTCGAGCCTGTCACCGCTGACCCGGTCGCAGGCGCTGATGCAAATAGAGAAGGCGCTCCGGGCTGGACAGCTGGCACGCTTGCCATAAAGGCGAAGGCTTTGGCGGGCGCTGATGCGTTGGCCGCGGTTCCAAAGCTAGGGGTCGCCGGGGCGGACTCAGGGGGCTGTGCAGTGAAGCCGCCGAATGAACCGCCGAAGAGCGGTGCAGAGGTGGTAGTTACGGAAGGCGGCGCAGGTGCCGGCTTTTCCTTCTCGGCCGCCAGAGGACTGCTGGCAAAAAAGAGGTTGACGATATTAGCGGAGGACTGAGTGAAAGGACATTATCTGGGACTCGCAGCGAGTTCTGATGCAGGCGTTTATCAGCAAAAGAGTCCAGATCGGATCAAAGCAAACCAGACTCTCAAGGCCACAGAGCACAACTATGAACACTGATCTTAGGTTTTGGAAACTGAACAAGCACGGACGAAACTTTCAGTTGCTGAAGCACCACTGCAGGGGATACCCAAGCGCGCACAAGATCACGGCAGAAGCCGTGTAGGAAAAGCCGCTGACTATCAAGGAAAGCCCACCTGAACGAGAAGTCCGACTGAGCTTTAAAGCCAAACTCGGGCAAGCCCGCCGGTGCCTTCAGATCCGCCCCCTCCTTCAGTCCCTGGAAGGACTCCTTGGCCACTTTGGATTCGGAGAACGTGAAGGCCGGAGGAGTGCCGCCGCTGAGCGCTGATGCGCTCATGACGGGAGCCATTCCGGTGAAGAGCGTGGCAGCAGGGGCGGTCGTTGCAGGGGCGGTGAAGATGCTTTTGACGGCCGCTGGCTGGGAGGTGGGAAAGATCGAGACGCCCACTGCCCCACCTTCCTCGTCCTCTCCCTGCAGAACAGTGGGAAACAATTTGAATGTCTGTCCTCTACTTTCGGCTGCCGCTCGTTGTTATGGACCTCACAGAAGCGAGGTATACTGAACAATCCCGATTCAAGGGTTTTCAAGAGCCTAGCACTAATCGAAGTAGGAATCGATACACTGCGACGAAAAAGATGATACTTCGGAGAGCCCCACGCGGAGATGAAACAGGCGAGAAATGACGAACAACCTTTCTTTGCTGATTCCATAAGAATGCCCTGATGTCAAAGTTCTGCTTGCACTAGACCTGTCAACTATCAGAAGATCCATGAATGCACCCACTGCATGCATCCAACCAGCGCCACTAAGAACGTGTGAGAAGAGACGTACCGGTTCTGGAGCCCTGAACACCTTGCCCCGCTTAGCCCCCCTCTCCCTCCCCGTCTGCTCCGTTGTCGGCTGTTCCCGCCTCTCCTCCAAAGTACTCGGACCCCTCTCCTCCCTTTCAGCTGCCGTCTTCTCTCTTTCTCGATCCTCCCGCTCCGCTTCTTTGCTCCCCTCAACTGCCTTCGTGCTTTTCTGCCCGGGTGTTCCTCCCATAGCCCTCTCTGCAGACGCGCTGGCTGCTTGGTAGTCGGCAGATGTCGACGGGGGGAAGGCCTCGCTGGAGGGCAGGGCCGGGGGGCTCTCGCGACCGGGACTGGCGCGCAGCGAGTCGACAGGCGGGAGGGCGTCCAGCTGCACGAACAGAGCAGGTCAGTCGCAAGGAAGGTATATTTCAGCGTATGCAAGGGGTTCAGATCGGCAAATGTAACGAAATCCATGTCAGCACCCAAAATAGGGCTCGTCAGGAAGCTTACTGCAAGAATAGATTGAGCCCGAACATCAAACAGGTCCGGGAAAGCAGTTACTCCGGTATGATGGCACGTTCACAAGTGCCGAGTTACAGTAAGTGGGGTGATGGCACGGGGCTTGCTTAGTTGGCAGACAGGAGCAGCTTGCTAATACAACAGAACCTCCAACGAGGTCGGCGACTGTCGGCAATAACGATGAGATGTCACCCAAAACCATACCGTGCTCTGCGTGAGCCGCGCTCTCTCATTCAGGTTCATATCGTGAAGCACCTCTGGGGACAGATTGGCACCGACCAGCTTCTGCACAGGGTAGGCAAGAGAAGTGGTGAGGCGCCGGCCTTTGTCGGAAGGACCAAAGCTCTCCTGGCAAACAGCAAGTGGCTCCCATAAAGTCAGGCTTCGGGATATCATGTAGGGCTTGTGGTCTCCCTCTGAAGAATCAAAGCTCTCTGGGCGAGGGGCGAACCACTGTTTGAGACGCTCAAACTTGGTTTTGGAAGGCTTTAGGAGATCTGACCCCGGCAATCACTCAACAAGGGAGTCACAGAACGATTACGGTGAGTTAACACCGCAAACACTTGACGACTTCAAAGCAGACGCTCACACCAAATCAACAGCCTCCTCAAATACCCGCTGGCATTCAGCCGTCCCTCACCCGTGGCGACAACATCATGTCGAGCGTCTCGAAGATCTTGGAAGCCGTCTTGCTCATCTCGGTCCTCCTCAGGCTCGGCAGCTGGCCCCCGGCACCCGATCCCCGCCCCTCTTGCCGAACGCTCAGAGCCCTTTCAGCACCCGCAACCATCGATCCTCTTAGAGCACTTGAGGGGGGTTGAGAAGCAGGGGGCAGCGAAGGGAGCCGGCGACCGGTCTGCGGAGCTCGGCCTGAGGTCCCCGGGGTGAAGGTTTGGCTGGGAGCGGGGGTGAAGGATGAAGCGGGGGGCCGGAGGGAGGGGGCCGGGGTGGCCTGGACGGCATGCCGGAAGCTGCGCCGCTGCACTGAGCCTTCGACGTCCTCCTGCGGTCGAGATGGGTGACGAGATTACAGAATTGAAGTGGCAACAGCAAGAACCGGAGCGGACGCCAATTATGTTAAGGTGGAAGAGACAGCCAGGTTGGACCTCTGCGACTTGCACATAATATCATACCACTTCCTGGCTTGCTAAGTCAGATTAAGTCAGGTGAAATCTTCGAAAGAGCTTTGATCAGTGCCAAGACGTCAGGCTATGGGACCACCGAAAGCGGGAACACAATGGAAGAAAGGGCAGTCAAGATGCAACACTTACCAGTCCGCGCTGCCGGATCCTCCTCAGGGACTCCGTCTGCCAGCCGTCTGCCACCTCGGAGACCCTGCGCTTCAGCATCTGCACAGGAACACCAGATTACTACTTTAGAACCAGTATATAGTCTTTACCCGGTTTGACGCGCAATCTTAAAAAGCTGTTGATGGATAACTTTACCCTCTGCGCACACGAGTAACATCCCAGAGGAACGCTGACTGGTCTGCATCAATGCAGAGGCCAAGTGCTTCGCCGAGCTTGCCCTACTTCGAGCGACCGCCAATCAGAGAGTACGAGGAGCAAAGGTGTCCTGCTATGTAGAGGTAACACGAGCTTGTAAAACGTGGAGTGTGGTGTTGAAAAAAACGTACCTCTCGCCCACCACTCAACGGAGCCCTCACTGGTGTCCACCTTGTTCCAAAGTCCTCCCCAATCTGCAGAAACTGGAAAGCATCCATGTAAGCACAATCGATGTTGCAAGTCTGCAAGACATGTACGAACGAAAATCGTGTGACTTGCGTCCAAGTTTAGGGGGTTGTTCTGCTGGAGGAAAAGGCATGACGGCAGCCTCGGGTGCAAGTCTGTTTGCTGAATCGCAGACATGACGGCAGCCTCGAGAGCACAAAAAGGGAATCCTTTGGCGTACCTCGACAGAGCCTGCCCTCTGCTGAAGAGTGTACGGCCTGCTCGTAATTGAACCCCTCCGAGGAGCCGGGGTGCGGTAGTGACCTCCCCCTTCTTCCGCAAATCCTTGCAGGCCGCTGCCTGTGAATCTCCTGTCCATCTCTCTGCTGTTGTCCAGCCTTGGGAACGAGAACGACTTGTTCGAATCAGGACTAAGATCTGCCGACTGAGCCGGCAAACGTGCCTGGTTCATGAACTTGAGGGCAACCTTCACGGGTGACTCTTCGTCCTGAGTGCGTCCAGTTGCCTGCTGTGGATAGAAATGATACATTGTTACCGTTGGGCTGCCCCAAGGATACGGGCAACCTGCCAACAAAAGCTGGTGAGAAGGCTGCGGTTGTAAGCGGGCAATGACAGGGGATAAACTAACCGACCATATGATCCGGGAGACCAGAAATTACCAATGGAGCAACAACATTTCCTAAGGCCGGTGCAACACAAAGTGCAGCAGATAGGGACCTTGGCCAATCCCCTTGAACATCATTCAAAACGTACTTACCATGAAGGTTGTACCTGAAGTCATGTGATCCTATTTGCATATCACTAGAAACCGTTTTCCACGCTTGATTGATGTATTGCATATTGGTTGTCCATTTCGTATCCAACGGCTACAATCACTGACATAACCAAGCAACTCAAAGGTCAAACCTCTCTACACCTTTCAGCTATTTTCCAATGACTGAGCATACACCGGAGAAGCTGTTTCCGCACAGGCAAGGTCGAAATGAAAAGCGCCACTTTTAAGCACAAAGGCCAGCCAGCAGAAATGCTGCACTCCTTGAGGTAGTTTCTGAGCAATCTCCTTCAGGAACATTCAGAAATCAAACCATCGCAGGTGCTCACCCGTAAGCTCCTTCCTTCCGAGTACGCCAGTTCCATCCCACGGCTTCTTCCCTGCTCTTGTTCCTCTAAGCTCCCATTTGCATCAACGTCAGGATGCTCTTGTGTCGGGTCCGCCCGCCCAACAGCATCAGGTTTTAAATTACTCTGGCTCTGAAACCCTTGCCTCTCCAGAGGCTCGTGGGGCGTTTCTTCCGCAGATCTGGCATCCGGCCGCCTGACAGATCCCAGTGGTCGTTTTCCCTTTGTTTTTGATTTCAGAAACTGCCTGATCCTCTCGCACTCCTTCTCACATTCCTCCCTGCAGGGAAAGGCTTAAGTTTTGGAACTTGTTAAGTTTTTATTAAGCTGAAAAGATCAATGCCATCGATGAAGATGGAGGTCAGTGCCTGCAGTAACAATCACTATTTATGCGAACGATCCTCACTTCCAATGAAGTCCAGCATCATAGCTTGCAAAGGAGAGGGACTTACTCGCTCAACACCACCCCATCCATTGAGTGCTTGATGAGCTCAGAGAGGTCAACGGACCTGACTCCGGCCGCCTGAGGCTCCTCCTGGCAAGAGGTTGCAAAGAGTTGCTATCAGTCAAATATGCTACCATATAGCAAAAGCAAGCGTGCATCGTTGTGCATGACCAGGGTCGCACAAAGATTGCCCTCAAAACTTGCAAATCAATCCAGCATTATGCGAAGACGACTACTATGCTAAACTTCAAATTCAATGCCAGCTTTGTTGGAAGGAAAGAAGCGCATGAAAGGCACTACGTACATTTGCAAGTCAACACTCTTACTCCACCACTTCCGCAATTGCTTGCCATCGCACAACCTTCAGCAGCTACATCAACTAAAACCCTAAAACTTGCACAATCAGCCACCAAGCTCCTGACAATGCTCAAATCCATCATGGATGAACGATTGAGCTAACCTCTGAGTCTTCTCTTTCTGGTTGTCTAGCCCGTCCGCTGGGACCAACCTCTGAATCTCCATTTTCTTTTACATCAGCATCTGCAAAGTAGACAACAAAACTCTGTGATAAACAGATCCCGGATAGCAGCTCCTCATAATCAATCTGTGTAGAATGCTGCTGATTTCCATCCAGCCACGCGGATGCTCAAAAGTAACATGCTTCAATCGCTGACCTCTTGCCATAATCGTGCTTGAAAGCGAGCCTAGAGGCTAGGAGTATCCAAGAAGTATTGACGGGCACGATTGATTTGAGACAGCACGCTGCATGTTTTCAACTGACTCATTGTATCTAAACCACCTCATCAGCGAGCAAAAACTGGCAGCTTCCTCACAGTTGTAGCGGCACTAGTCACCCGATCGTCATGCAGAAAAGATGCGAGCTCTCACCTTGTTTCTCATTCTCAGGACGCGGATCGCTCTTGAAGAAGCTGAGTGGAGTCGTCACGAGATGCGCTGCGCCAGAGGCGATGCTCGAAAGTGCTCCCCACCAGCCATTATTCTTCAATGGCCTTGCCAACTCGCCTGGGCCGGCAGAAGTTGCCTGTCCCCCATTCGCTTTCGCGCTACCCAAAGCTGCGGCATTTGAGGGCCCCGCAGCAGCGTGCCGGCCTGTCGCTGGCCGAGCGTAAGGGGTGCTGTTTCTACCGCCCGCATGCTTGCGTGCCTTGCTGCTCTTGCCTCCAGCCCCACCAGCACCATATCCATACCCATCGGCCGTCCCGTCCCCCTGCTGCTGGTGCTGGTTCATTGCGCCACCTGATCTACCTAGATTCCACGGGACCGTTACCAACCGTCCTTTCAGATTCAGGATGCGCCATGCACTGCCTAACACCTAACAACTTGCATGTCCTGTTGAAGTATGAAAGAATCTGAGAAGCTCGTCGCCTCAGCCTCAGGCTCCAGCCTCAGGAGGCTAGCCGCTAGCCTAGCCGCTACTAGGCTGCCTCTACTACTAC